TTGCTATAACCTATTCCCATTTCCAGTCCTCAAAAGGAAAGAAAAAAATATACCTTAAATGGTGCTACCCTCTAGAATGGAATATACAGATATGCAACTACAGTTTATCTGGCTCCTTCCCACAACTCAGTAGTTTAAATCTCTTGACTGAACTTAATCTCTTCTAGTTAACCTCCCACTCTTGGCATTTATCTCTGTCACTTGCCTAGGATAACCACTAATCATACTCACATATATTGTCTTTTGTTTTCCTGTTCTTTCTGGACTTCTTGATGGACATTCTAGGCTTGGACCCTAGGTAGGTCTCGCCCCAGTTCTTTACTTGGCCTTTTGCCCAACCTCCTTACTAGGCTTAGGAAGCTTGGTCTCCCTGCCGTGGTAAGGTCGAACGTCCTGCCGAGCCTTACACTCGAACTCCGGCCAAGTCCCCTCGCCTGACTCTCCTACTAGGCTTAGCCTGCTTGCCTTTCTACTTGCTTCCTTACTTGCTTACTTACTCTGTCTTCCCCGACATGCCTCCTGTCTGCCAGAACATGTACCCTGCCTGCCAGGACCTGCTCCCTGCCTGCCAGGACATTCCCCCCTCTTGCTAGGACCTATGCTCTATCTTCCAGGACTTGCCCCCTGTCTTCCAGGACACGCCCCCTTCTTGCCAGGACCTGTCCTTTGCCTGTTATTAATTGCCCTACCTGCCAGGACCTGCCCCCTGCCTGCCACGACATTCCCCCCTCTTGCTAGGACCTATGTCCTATCTGCCAGGACACGCCCCCTTCTTGCCAGGACCTGTCCTTTGCCTGTTAATAATTGCTCTACCTGCCAGGACCTGCTCCCTGCCTGCCAGGACATGGCCCCTTATTGCCTGGACCTGTGCCCTGCCTGCCAGGACATGCCCCCTGTCTGCCAGAACATGTACCCTGCCTGCCAGGACATTCCCCGTTCTTGCTAGGACCTATGTCCTATCTGCCAGGACATGCCCCTGTATGCCAGGACATGCCCCCTTCCTGCCAAGGACATCCCACCTGCCCTGCTGTGGACAACTCCCTTGCCCTGATTGCCAGGGACTTACTTTATGCCTAGAGAATCTCCACATGCCCAGAGGAGGGCCTTTACCTCTAAGGAGAGGCCTCAGTCTCTCTGTTCCACTCACTTCCCCCCGTTCCCGGCTGGCCCCTTCGCAGGAGTCCGGAAACGCGGTACTAGCGGGTCCCTACCGCGGGTCCCTTTCACTTCGGGGGTCCGAGCTGCCAGCCCCCTTCGCAGGAGTCCGGAAACGCGGTACTAGCGGGTCCCTACCGCGGGTCCCTTTCACTTCGGGGGTCCGAGCTGCCAGCCCCCGTCTCACTCATTCACTCACTCGCTCGCTCGCCTCCCAGTTTTCCTCACCAATCCGTTGTCCCTCTGCGTTGCTCCTCCGCGTGGCTCGTCCGCGTTGCTCCTCCACGTGGCCCATCTCACGCTGATCCTAGGGTCCGGTAGCCAGCAAATCCCAAGGGTCCCTCTAAGCAGGTGGTCAAGCTGTCCAGCTGTCCAGGGTTCCTCTTCGGGCATGGCTATCCTGGATGAGCCCCCAAATTGAAATGAACAGGGTCTATGCCTTTATTAATAGTCAGCTCTTTATTAAAAAGTCAGTTTGGCATGGGGCTCAACAAGGAGCTCGCCCCCGCTGTTGTAGCTTCTCCGGTAGCCAAAGGGTGAGCAGGTGTGCAGAGTCTGTCCCTGGAGTCCCTGTGGCACGCTGGTAGCTGGAGGTGAAGAGGTGTGCAGTCCGTATCTGAAGTCCCAGCAGACCGTCCTCTCTCCTTTCCTCCTGGCACTATGGTAGCCACAGGGTGAGGGGATGTGCAGAGCCTGCTGCCGAAGACCAGCAGCAGCTATCCCTCTCCTTCCCTCCTGGTAACACCAGGAAGTGTGTGTCTCCTTTGCTCCTGCTTCCCACAGCCCAGTCCAGTCTGGTCCTCTGTAGGTTATGGTGACAGGTCAAACACAGACTAGGGATGGGGTTCCCTTTTCCCCAATGAGCACACCCATCCAGCCCCCTCCACTGTGCCCCTCTTTTCCATTTAGGGGTGTTTTTCATCCCCAAAACCCCCTCCCATGATTCCACTGGATTATTTTGCATCCCAGTCCTAGAATGGTAGTGAGGGTGGGGGGAGGTAGGTGATTCCCAGGAACAATTAGCTAATTAACATTTCAATGTCAGTACTTAGCCCAAGCCAAGTGTCCCAGCCAGGCTGTTTTGTTCATAACATTTGGATCCACCTTTTTAGAGCATACGTATCCCTTGGTTGTGATTTTAGCCCTTTTTCATCATCATCTTTACTTTTAGCCTTGATCCACAGTGTCTTCAGATGGTGATGATAGAAAATTTCGATAGCCAAACTGAATTTTATTTTTATATCTTTTATTTTAATGAAAGCAAGCAAGCAGCACTGGGTGACTGAGGAGTCACTGCTCCACTCATGGCACACACAACTTACAAGTTGAGTAAAGTATATATACTGTTTTTAAGCCTACAAAGTATTTTCCAATGTGCTTGGTTAGTCCGAATCAGCAAATATCAATAATCTGGGATCAGAAATTTCATAATCTTTCCAGGTGGCCATTGGCTTCCTGTCCTTCTTGAGGTCATCTGGAAGGAGACCTTTCACCGGTGTCTGCTACATGATTTTGCTACATGCATCAAGCTTTTTATTACACATAAGCATTTAGACGCTGTCATGGGGTGACATTATGATGCTGGTATCCCCAATTGTGTGTTCTGTTTATGTTTGATATTATTTTCTGTGCTTTCAGAACTGACTCTGAAAATGAAGGTTTGTTTTGTCTTGTTATCAGCTGGTTCACCTTCCCCCACGGTCTGTTGTCTAGAAGAGGCTAGTGCTGGCTGGCTTGCTTTGCTTTGCTTGCTTGCTTCTGCTTTTACCTTTGCTTTTGCTTGTTAGTTTAGCTAAGCCATCCAGTTCTTTCCCTGGACTTTTTTTTTTTTTTCCCTTTCCTGAATATCATTCCAACCTGCTCCAGACTGGGACCTGGAAAACACCGAGGAACACTGAGAGCCTGCGCTTTGTGATCTGCAGCAGCCATCCCCAGTGCCGGAGAGCAATCCCCAGCACCCAAACCCGGGTGACCACTCCCAGGAAAGATTTTCTAGATTTGTACATCTCTTCAGAGTGGTGAAAGAGTTTTGTTGTCATCTGGTGTTGTTGTTTTTTTTTGTTTTTTTGTTTTTTTTTTGTGCTGGGGAGTGTTTCGTTTGTCAAATAAACAGGTTCTTTTCCACTTCTCTCTCAGAGAAAATTTTTCCCGAACCAGGTGGGTGGGGAGGGGCCGTGGGTGGTTTTTTTCTGGGGGCTCCTTCCAAAGGTTTTTCTCCCAAATTTGCCCTAAACTAGGACAGACACTTTGTTGCAATCCCCTGAGCTTTACCACAACTTCCTCTATTTTATTCTAAGCATCAGTCGTCCTGCTATATAATCTCTTTACTTCACTATATTTCTCCTATTTTGATGCTTTATTTGGCTATAGAAAGTTTCAAAACTGTTCTTTGTAGTTATCCCACGGAACATGTCCATTTTTGACACAGCAGATACAAGCATTTGCTGATTCCATTGCTAATTGGCACGAATCACAAAAACATTTTTCACAAACCCTCCCCTTTTTCTTTATGTTATTGATTCATGTCTTTGCTTCAAATCAAGCAAATATTTTTTTGGGTCGCAGTTCTATTTGGTTCTGCTTTGGCCTTGACTATCCTAAGGGAGTGGCTTTTTTCTCCTGTGGTTGTTATTTTAGGGTTTATGGGTGTTGCTGATATTTGCATTCTCTGGATCACTGAATGTATTATCCTAATAAAGCATGGAATCATGCAAGGTATAAACAATAGGCCTAATGCAGAACAAAGCAACATTAACCCCAACTTCTTCCACCAGGTTCCTTTAAATAAATTATTCCACCAATTGTCAGTTAATATGGAATTCCATTTCTGCACTGGAATGTGTTCATCTTGTTTAACTTCATCTGCCAAATTTGTAAGAGCCTCTCCATTATCATCAATCTCTAAACAGCACTCAGATGTATTAAATTTTCAAACCCCCCCCCCCCCTTCTTCAGCTAATAAATAATCTAAGGCTAGCTTATTCTGATATACTGCTGCTCTGGTCTGGGTTACTTGTCTAGCTGGAAGCTTCATTGCCTCTGATGTTTGATTAGAAGTAATTTCTACAATGGCCTTTAATCTAATAATTCATTAAAACATATAAATAGGGGTTCTATAACCCCAGCTGCTGTCCTGAGCCCAGGAGGCAGGATCATAGTAACCTATGATCCATTGGGGAGTCAATTCTTCATTATTCCAGGTCAGTTTTCCTCCTATTTCAATTAGTTTTCTTCTGCGCAGAGTTTAGTAAAGAGGTCACCCTAAATATCCACCTTTGCTCTTTGGTAGCAAAAAGAATGCAGGTTGTATAATTCCAATAGTACAGGTACCTCTCCATCTCTTTGATAGTTCATTATATGCCCTTTTACCACATATCCAAAATAATCCATCTGGAGCTTTCCAATTCTCATTTGTCTGCCCCTGATTTTCCCAGCATCCCTTAAGATCTTTTACCTTCTCAAAATGATTAGCATGTGTTACACTATTCCAGCAAACAGTTCCATTGGTACAATTGATAGAACAATAACCTGTTGGTAGTTTCAGCCAGCAGGTCATAAAAGTGGAGTTTGTGGTATATATCATCTTGCCGGGGGTATGTCATACATATGTAGTGAAATGGTTTCCTTTCCTGGAAATACAAATTTGACCTACTACTTCATGACTCAATATCCACCCCTCAGGTCAAATTTCATTAGATTTATGTGTCCTGTTCCATAATATCAACTGATCAGGTCCTACCCCTTCTCCTCTCAATGGTGTCACAATCTGCTAGGATAAGTGGAGTCGTGATGGTTCGTTTACCGATCCCAAAAGTGCAAAAGACAAACAGCAGGGGACCATCAACTTAATCACAACAAATGCACCTTTTATTGAGTGCCCACAGCCAATGCCATAGAATGATTAGTAAGGAGATAAAGGATAGAGAGAGAGTGAAAGAGGGGAAGGGGAATATAGCTACCAACAGAGAGATTAAATCCTCATGGTCCAACCAATAGATCCGTCATTGTTCCGTGGGGGTTCACTGAAGTCCTGGTTAACTTAGGGATGTTTATTGTCCTCCACCGAGGAGGGGAACAGGTAAAAGACAATTGAGAAATGAGTCTATTGAAAAACGGGTAGAAAGAGTCCATGTTCCGAAGCAGGGCAAGTAAATTTCATCAGTGAGCGAGACTAATTGTTTTCTTGGTTCAGCGAACACATCTGCAGGCAACACTTGACAAACATCCTGCTTCAGTCAGGTCAGCACGCCTGTGTTTGGATTATAGGGGTCTCAGTCTCAGTACTTGGGAGGGAGCTTCAATTTCCGTCCGTCACGGTGGTCATGAGGAAGTTGAGGGATCTTCAGTGAGAGATCACCAAAATTACCCCAGAAAGTTCATTTGGCCAAAAGGTGGGAAAATTCATGGGTTATTGTGATAAGTGGGTGTTGTGAAGCAGGTGTAAGCATACAGAGCAAGCCGCTCCTTTCCAGGCCCTGCTTGAAGCAGCGTAGTGTGGCAATGTCGGAATCTGTGGGTATTGATAATTACGAGATTGTAGAAAGTCGCTGTCTTTCTGCCCTGTAGCCAAAGAAGAAGTCATAATTCGTCTGTGCTGTTTTCAAGGCTGTTTATTCTTGCTTATCTATAACATGTTCTGCTGCCCTGTCGCAGGTCTGTCCTGCAGGACAGCGTGCGGGGCTCTGCCCCTCAGTGGGATGTTACAAACATTATATACCAGAAACTACGTGTACTATATTTACAATAATGTGCTAATATCTATCATCTATGTTAAACAGCGTGTCCCCAGCCTAAACCAATAGAAAAATGCCAACACTACAGTGAAACATGGAGGGCATGAAGAAGGAGGAAAAGGACAAGACACACCCAATTTCCTCCATCTTTTCCCCTCTGAACCCCTTATCTAGAAACCTAAAATTTTACTTTTGCACCCGTGCCACACTTAATTATTACTCATATCAAACACTCAGAGCTTGTAATTCATCCTGTAAGATTGAAAACACTTTTCCATGGACAGAGATCACAGACAGTGTCTCTCGGGGCTCTGTACAGGGGGTTTCCTGACGCCCTGCCAGGGTCCGAGGCCCTCCAGGGCAGCCAGAGGGAAGCCCTGGATTCCCACATGGCAACACAGCAAATATACCTGCAAACAACGACTTGGCGAGCATCCACCTCAACCAGGCCACAATTCAAATTGGGGTCTTCAGGATCTTAGTCTCTGCCATTGCGATGATCATGAGGCAAAAATGAGGGGAACTTCAGACCATCTCTTACACATGGCTGCCTTGGTGCTCTCTTGTCCCCCCTTTGTCCCAGCTAGCTCCGTGGGAGGGGGAAAGCGCGGGCAATTTCCGTGTTTTCCGGCGAACCCTCGCGGGCGTTGGCCAGTGCTACGTGGGTCTGGGAGCAAAAAGGTGAGTCCCGCGGCGAATGAAAGGAGAGAGACTTTTCCCCCGGTGGCAGAGTTCCGGTTTATTGCGGCTTGGTTGGGAAAGCAAAAACCGAAAAAGCTGCGGCGTGCCGCGCTGAAGTTTGTTCGTGCCGCCTTGCCGGTTTGGGGCAGGGCGGCGCGCTCCGAAAACTGGCCGCGAGCCAGAAGTGCCACGGCAGCGGCGGCGGCGGATCGGAGCGGCTGCGGCCGCGATCGCCCGGGGCGGCGGCGGCGGCGGCAGCACTCAGGGGCCGGGCGGGAAAAAAGCCCGGGGCGTCCCCAGCCCGCGGGCTAAGTACTGAACAGGGGAAACCCGGGGCGGCCAATAGGATAACGCCACGGGGGGTCTGAGGACAGTGGGGTGCAGGGGTACATCCAATGGGGGATGGACAGGTGGAGGGTCCCAGGGCGTCTCCCGACCTTGCCGTGTGACTGACAGATGGTCTGAGAGATGTAAACACAGTGACTTGGCACTTTCCCGGGAAGGCAAACTGTGGGGGGAGATGGGAAAACCCGGGGGATCGCTACAGAGCATGGGGGGGGTACATGGAACGAACTTATACATAATAAAACATATAATAACACAATTCCAAAACTCCCTCTTCTGTTTTTCAAAAGAAAAGAACGGAAAATAACTTAAATGGGGGGTTTTACAGTCCTGTTCCCCATCGTTGAACCCGATGTCCTCTGGGTATTCTGCTTGGTTCTTTTCGGGCTGTTTATGTCGACCGGTGTCAGCTCTGATGGGGTGGCGAAGACTACGTGGCCAATGTGCACGGTTGAATTGATGGCCTTTAAACCTTTTAACATTACTAAAACTTATAATAAGAACAGTGAGTGTTAACAGCAACATAAGTCCCGTTTCTGAAATTGATTGGATGGAACCTGTGAGACTTCATCCTTCAAAGCGACCTCAGCCAGTCACTTGCAAGAGGGATGAAGCTTACATCTGAAAAACAACTGGAACATTGATCAGCATTCTAGGGAGGGGAGGTTTAAATCAAAAGGGAAGAGTGAGTCCAGGGAACTGGATGGTGAAAGGGAAGGCTCTGAAAGAGAAGGTGTTGAATCAAAAAGGAAGGGAGGAGACTTTCTCTGTCTGCGGAGGGCTGCATGCTTCACCTGAGGATCTTTTTTCTTGTTGGTCTGGTGTTTGGGGACATATGGCCGGACAAACTGCGACGGGACCCATCTCAGGCCTGAGGGCGTGGACACGCAAGCGTATCCCCGTCCCCAGGTGACTAACTCGTGGGGCCCTTCCAGCTGCCAAGTCTCCGGATTTTTGATGATCACTGGTGGTTTTTCCCTAACCTTGCTCAGCTCGTGGTTGCCAAAGTGCCTAGTGATTGGTGGGTTGAGGTTTTCAAAAGAACAGTTTAGGAAATTTAGTGTAAAGAGGGCACGCGCGAGCCAAACTTGGGGGGACTCAACTTTCATAGTTGGTGTCTGTTGTTTTAGCATACGTTTGAGACTCTGATGAGTCCGCTCCACCACGGCTTGACCTGTCGGGGAATATGCGATGCCAGTTTTGTGCTCTATTCCCCATTGCTGCAGGAAGCTGGCAAATCCCTTGGATGTGTACCCAGGGGCATTATCTGTTTTTATCAATTTTGGGACGCCCAGCATAGTGAAGGCCTGTATCAAATGCTTTTCAATGTCTTTGGCTTTCTCCCCTGCGTGGGCGGAAGCAAAGACTGCCCCAGAGAAAGTGTCTACAGAGACATGGACGTACTTCATCCTTCCAAAGGAGTGGATGTGAGTAACATCCATCTGCCATACCTCGCAGGACTTCAGACCCCTAGGGTTAGCCCCTGAGCTCACTGATGGTAGGGGGAGAGACTTACAGGACGGGCAGGTGGCCACAATGGCTCTGGCCTGGTCACGGGTGAGGTGGAATTGCCGGACCAGCCTGGGCGCATTCTGGTGGTAAAGCTGGTGGCTGATCTTAGCTTGCTGGAACTTATCAGGGAGCGGTGCTACCTGAGCCGGGGCGGCAGCGAGAGAATCGGCACGCCGATTGCCCTTGGCCAAAAACCCTGGCAAGTTGGTATGTGACCTGATATGCATCACGTAAAAGGGTTGCTCTCGGTGGGAGACTAGCTTAATCAGTTTCGAGAGCAATTTGTGCAGGGCTTCATTGGATACACCCTGCAGGACAGCATCCTGCGCTCTAGACACTACACCAGCTACGTACGCCGAATCGGTTACCAAATTAAAAGGTTCAGAGAATCGCTCAAAGGCTCTGACAACAGCAGCCAACTCAGCTATTTGAGGGGAGCCTTCCACCTCCACAATGTCTGTCTCCCACTGCTGCGTCTGGGGGTCTTTCCAAGTTATCACAGACTTGTGAGAACTCCCGGACGCATCTGTAAAAACTGTCAAGGCTTTGAGTGGCTTTTTGCTCTGAATTCGTTTGATGGACAATGCGAATTGAATTTCTGATTAAAAAATTTTGTGGGCTGGTCTCAAAACTGAAATTTTGCCTGTGTAGCTGTCTAGAGAGAACTGAAGGGATTCATTTTCCTGTAACAGGTGTTCTAGCATGGCCTTGGTGAATTGGCCTGATTCCAATTTGATTAGAATGTGAATGCATTCAAAGTCACATCCAGCTAGCTCTCGGATCCGTGCTCTTGCCTTGCGGATCAGTTCCGCTACTAACTCCTGTGGCCTTGTCATTCTCTTGGAACGATGGTGACTTAGGAAGACCCATTCTATGATGGAGAGTGGGTCCCTTTGGTCCTGGCCCTTGCCCTTCTTTGGGGTGTCTGTCCATTGAAATATCACACCATGGAGGTGCGGCAGCCTGCCCAATATGATGAATTTAAAGGGCAGGTCCGGATCGTACCGGTGGGCTTGTCTGGCAGACATTGTCTCCTGGACCCTAATCAAAGCTGCCTGGGCCTCTGGGGTGAGTTCCCTGGGAGAACTCGGCTCCTCCCCCCCTTTCAATAAATTGAAAAGAGGGGCTAGGTCTCTGTTTGTAATACCTAACCATGGCCTTACCCAGTTCAAAGAACCGCACAGCTGCTGGACGTCTGCTAGGGTCCGAATTTTGGTTTTGATGGCAAATTTTTGTGGAATAATAGTCTGCTTGGTAATTTCCAAACCCAGGTACTTCCAGGGTGGCATCTTTTGAATCTTGTCCTCTCGCAGCTCAAACCCTGCAGCAACCAACGCATCGGTTGTCAGGTTAAGCGCGTGTGTAAGGAGATCGTCATTGGGAGCACAAATCAATATGTCATCCATATAATGCTGGATGATCACGCCCTCGGTGGCTGTACGGACTGGGGTCAGCAATGAAGCTACGTACCGCTGGCAGATGGTGGGCGAGCATTTGAGGCCCTGTGGCAATACTCGCCAATGGTACCGCTCCATTGGGGCTTCCCGGTTGAGGGACGGAACCAAGAAGGCAAAACGTGGCGCGTCTTCTGGGTGGAGTGGGATATGAAAGAAGCAATTTTTGATGTCAATCACAGCCAATTCCCAATCTTTGGGTAACATTGTGGGGGACGGCATCCCTGGATGGAGTGGACCCATATTTTTGATCACATTGTTGATGGCACGGAGGTCGTGGAGCAGCCGCCATTCGTCTTTGCCTGGTTTTTTCAGGACAAAGACGGGGAAATTCCAAGGAGATGTTGTTTCTTGGATATGTCCCTTGGCAAGTTGCTCTGCCACGAGCTTTTGGAGCGCTTTTAATTTTTGTTTATTGAGCGGCCACTGCTCTACCCAGATCGGAACATCAGAAAGCCAATTCAACTTTTGGGTAGGACACTTCTCAGTGACCGCTGCCCGAAAAACCTGGGGGGTAGGAATGGTCAATGAGACCCCCCACTGGGCCATCAGGTCCCTTCCCCACAGGGGCTCTGTTTAATCCAGAATAAATGGACGCAGGTAAGCTGTTTGTCTGTTTGGCCCCTCAAATTTGATGATGTTTTTAGATTGTTTTGCTAATTGTGCCCCTCCAACACATTGAATGTGTCCGGCCACGTCCTGCAACTCCAAACGCGACGGCCAATCCCGTGAGGGAATGACTGTGACGTCTGCCCCTGTGTCCAAGAGGCCATTAAGCCACTTGTGCTCACCGCCATTCCACATGTAACATGCAATTTTGGGTCTATCCTTCCCAATTACCTGGGCCTGACACACCTCGTAGATCTTCTCTGTGGTTTTCATCCATAGGTCTTCTGGGTAGATGGGGGCCCCAGATACAGGTATGGCCTGGGCGATGATTTGCCCTTTGGGAAGGTAGACTGGCGGGTGAGCACAGTGCAGCCACAGCACCAGATGTTTAGGGTTTGCAGATGTTAAATTGGGTGCGATAGTGATGTCGAGTGGCGTGTACTTTGTGTCCCCAAGGACGATGTACTTACTGTGGAGTCTCCTCCAGGTCCCTGGGTCCTGTGTGTCGACCATGACAAAGTGCCAATTGCTGTCCCTGAGCAGCAGGGGTTCGGTTAGGGCCAACCTGTATGGAGAGAAGTTGGACTGGGTGTTAAGGATTGGCCTGGGATGGTCGGGGTCCCGACCAAGCCATGCCTGCGAGATGAAATTCCCGACTCCCCCCACGCAGGCTGGTTCACCAGCTCTTGTTCCCCTATTGTGCAGTCTGGTAATGTCATGTGTGGTATCAGTGTTCTTGTCCTCAGGTGGGTATGCTAATGTGTTGTCCCTCCTGCCCCCTGATGTTATGTTTCCCACTAAATTTGTGTCCTCACGCAGGGAGGGACTGCGCTGGGAAATTAGTTTTTTGATTGTCCCCCTGGGTTGAAGGCACTTTTCCCCTGCTGCTGTTTTTTAAAACGCAAGAAGTCCTCTTTGAGGGGGCAGTGAGATGCCCAGTGTCCTTTCTTATTGCAGAGGTTGCAGGGCTTTCCTGGGTGGTAACCTTTGAGTGGTGGCCCAGTGAAGCGGCGTGCAGGAGCTGGAGCCGCGGATGGCGTGTGGGCTTCGGCGAAGGAGACTCTCCGTGATGGTGTTTGGGGTGTCCCCTGAGGGTCCTTTGATGGCAGGGTGACCCTTCGAGCGCACACATCCAGCATGTCCTGGAGCGTTGGCTCCGGGTCGAGGGGCAGGCTCAGCATCGCCTGTCGGCAGGCCTCATTGGTGTTCTGCAGGGAGATTTGCTTCACCATGCCTTGCCTCAATCCCTCCTCTGGAACCTGTGCTTCAGCTGCCCTGTACAACCTGTCTATGAAACTAACGAAAGATTCTTGTGTCTCCTGCTTAAGAGAAAAACAGTTAACAACAGGACCACTGGGTCTTAACTTAAAAAATGCTTTTTCTGCCGCGTTGGCAGTTGCTGCCAATGCCCCTCTTGGAATCTTTTCAGCCTGTGTTGTTGCCACGTCCCAATCCCCCATCCCGCACAGATGGTCAATGGTTAACATCCCTCCATCGGTGTCGGAGGAGGTCTCGGCTTTTGCCCAAAGCTGGGGTAATGCATCCCATACCTCCCGCCTCCATGCGGATTCCTATACCAAAAACTCAGCTTGAGTAAGCAAGCACAAAAATAGAGCACGCATGTCAGCAGGGACGTACTCGTTGGACGAAAGTGTGACTTTTAAAAGTCCCCTAAAGTATTCACTTTCCCAACCAAACTCCTTTTGGGCTTTGCAAACATCTCTAATTACAGCCTGTGGGATAGGGGCCCACTGTGTGAGGGGTCTGCCCCTCTGCTGCGGCGTGTAGGTGACTGGTGCAGCAGAAAAGGCGAGCGGGGGTTGCGGCAGGCCGCGGCTTCCCTCCTTCCCCCCGCCTCCTCCCGCTCCCCCCCCCCCCTCAGGGAACCGAGGTGTGGGAACCAGTGGGCGGGTCGCGGGAACGGAGGGCGGAGGCAGGACCAGGGCTAGGGGGTGTGGCTGGTGTTACATTACCCCTAGGGGTGGGGTCGGAGGGAGGACTGCTGAATGATTCATTAGGGGAGGTGCCAAAAGGGGGTGGAGGGGAGGGGTGGGTGGAGAAGTCTCGGGAGTGGGAGGGGTTGGCTGTAGGGCGAAAGGGGTCATTGGGAGACTAAGCACGGAGGGAGGGGTATGGGCATGCCATGCGGTCCCCTCCATCTTGTGCCCTGGGGCAGGGAAGGGAATAATTTTGGGAAAGGTCCGGGGAAGGTCCT